AGACATGTTAAAAGTTGTACAAGAAGAAAACGGCCTTCAAATTAAACCAAAATAAAATTTTAAAAAGTGCTTTAAGCGAATGGCATAATAAAACATAGCCAAGCCACTATGAAAAGGGATTAACAAAGAAAATACTAACATTAATAAAAATGAATAGAAATGCTGTAATAAATCCCTACGCTTGTCCCTCAAAAGACAACTAGAACAAACAGACCCTTTGTAAGTTTGAAAAAAGAGCTGATCCAAAAGAGACAAACTTAGGAATGGGACAGGATATAGAAATAAAGTTACTGGAAAAATGTTAAGAGAACTAAAGCAGATAGTATGCTAACAAAATATAAATTGCCAAAATTGACACAAGAAGTGGAAAATATGAATAGATCTATTACTACTGAAGATATTATAAAGATAGTTAAACATGTATTATGGAAAAAGGTGCCATGTGGTTACATAGATCACTTCTATCTAACCTTCAAAGAACATGCAATTCCAATCTGACTTAAAATATTTCAGGCCATTAAAAATCATGGAAAGACCACTAATTCACCTGATGAAATGAATGTAGCTTTAATACCATATCCTTATAAAGTTAATATAAAAAAAGAAAAGCCTAGATTAATCTTACTTACAAATAGTTGTAAAAAATCTTCCAATTAACAAATATAATAAATCAATATTTCAAAAGAGTAATATAACAAGGAGTTATTTAATGGCTCAGTATCAGCACATCTATTAATATAGTCTACTATAATAACAAATTAAAGGAGATAAAAACAGGATCATATCAGTACAGGTTAAAAAGGCCTCTGATTAAATTTAGGAGCTACTCATAATAAAAATTCTAAGCAAAAGATCAAAAGGTCATAATTTTAAAACATTAAAGACATGTTGTTAAAACTCAACAAAAATTACCCTAAATAATATACACTTTTAATTGATAAACTGTAAAACAAAATAGATGCCTCCACCACACTGTTATTAAACATGATCTTTGAGATTCTTGTGCGTATAAGAAAACAAAATTGTATCGGTTATGGGGAAAAAAGTTAAAATAATTCTTATTTTGCTGATTACACAATTATATATCGAGAAAATCCAAGATGCTAATTTAAAAATACCTATTACATAAATAATAAGGTTGCTAACCATATGAGGACACTTCAAAAAGTTCATGGAAAAATAGAATTAAAAGATAATACTAGTCTTTCCATGAACTTTTTGAAGTACCCTCATATGATATGCAATACTCAAATATATTCTTTTATACTCAGAGTATGAATTTTATCTTTTTTTTGTGTGTGTGTCCGGCAACGGATCGTAACCCTCAGTGTTGCCCCCGTACCGGACCGGGACCGGCAACGGGATCGCAACCCTCGGTGTTGCGCCCGCACCTCGCTCAGCCAGTGAGCGGGAACCGGTCTGTATGTGGGATCCGAACCCTCGGCGGGAGCGCCACCGCGCTCCCAAGCGGCGCACTGTAGCAGTGCGCCACCGGGCCGCCCCCACAGTATGAATTTTAAATTGGACATGCCCACCCCACCCCCAAAATCCACTCACTGAAATCTAACTGAAGGATGTAAAAGAAGTCCTGAACAAATAGATAAATATACCATATTCTCAGATAACAAAAGATCCAAAAATGTTTACTTAAAAAAAAAAAAATCTCACAAAATTAACATACAAACTGGAATCCCAACAGAATTTTCTTTTAATATCATAAATTTGGTTTTGAAAAAGAAAATAATCAGAAACAGCCAGGAAAGGGTACAAAAGAAGAATGATATACAAGGTATAGAAGAAAAGAAGATATTGGGACATAGCATCAAACTACAGCAACCAAATCAGTATGGTATCAAAAGAGACACCTGGCTCCATGGAAAAGAACAGAGGAACCAGAAGGAGATTAGGAAAGTGGTGGTTCAATTCAGACGTAAAAGATTAAATTATTTAATAAACTGCATTGACACAATTAGCTACTCACCTAGAATATGGACAACAATAGCAACTACATAATGACTATAATAATTAATATTTTCTAAGTGCTTACTTTGTACTAGGCTATAATCTAAATATTTCAAATTTATTAATGTATTCAATTCTCTTACAAGCCCTAATTGCAATTATTACTATCATTCTGATGAGAAAACACCAGATGAATTAAACACATACATGCAGAAAGGCAAAGAAAAATCTGTGAGAAAATATGAGACTACAGACCTAATTTTAGAGTTTTAACAAAAAAATACATAATAAAAGATGGATAATGTCATCATTTTCTGAAGAGGTTGCACCAGTTTATGCTCTCATCAGCTGATATGAAAGTTCCAGCTGCTCCACATTCTTGCTAGCACTCGGCACTAGGCACTAGGTGGCTTTTTCCCTTTAGCCATGTGTAACAGTATCACTCTGTATTTGTCTGTTGACTATGAGGCTGAACACCTTTTCGTTTACTTATTAACCATTTGGATTTCCTCTGATGGGCTGTCTGTCCTTTTCTTAAGGACTTGTAGTCATTCTTTATCCTGGATTAAGAGTCTATGTCAAATATATTTATTGCAAATACCTGGCTTGCCTTTCTCCTATCTTTCAATGAAAAAAAGTTACTGATTTCAATGTAGTTCAACTCATCAGAATTTCCTTTTTAGAGCAGCACTTTTTATGTCCTATTTAAGGAATCTCTGCCTACCCTAACGTTATAAAGATATTCTCTTATGTTTTCTTCTAAAACTTTTGTCATTTTTACCTTTCATATGTAGATCTATATTCCATCTGGAATTGATTTTTGTCATGGTATGTAACACAGGGGTCAAAATTCATTCAGTTTTCCTCTGAACATACAGTTAATCCAGCAGCATTTACTGAAAAGCTAATCAACGATGCCAAAAGTCACATAGCGGTCACTCTTAGGGTGCAGGACTGGTGACTAGAAAGGGGCAGGAGGGGCCTCAAGGGGTTCTGAGGTTGGTCTGTTTAAAGTCAACAGCCAACACGAGATTTGGAAAAAAAATTTTAACAAAGATATAGGAAAACACACTGACTTCCTTAATGTGTAAAGAGATGTACAAATTGAGAAGAAAGACAACTGTGTTGGTAAAATAGGCAAAGTATATGACATAAGCAGTTAATTCACAGAAGTGGGAAGAGAAACATCCAGGACATGAAAATATGTTTAAATCCACTAGATGCTTGCTTTACATCAAACTGAACAAAAAGAATAATAAGAATTGTTTTATACCTACTAAAATGGAAAAGTTAAAAAAGCTATTAGAACTACTGCCATCAAATGAGCGAGAAATTAGTACTCTCATATGCTGCTGGTGGCAATATGAAGTTTCTTAGCCTTTCTGAAAAGCAATCTGGCAGCCTCTTTTAAAATTAAAACTATTTGAGTGGATCTTACAGTTCTATCCCTGGGAATCTATTCCTTAAGGAGAAAAAACAGTAGTTCATAAAGATACTTGTCAAAGAATATTTATTATGTCACTGTCTTGGAGCAGAAAGCTGAAAGCAAAACAAATGTCCTCCATATGGTTCCACCTGGCTCCCAGAGAGAGAAGGGACACAGCCAGGGTGGACCAGACTGAATTTCTACCAGGTTCGGAGTGAGATGACCAAGATGTAGGCCAGTAGGCCTGATGATGACACCATTTCTGAATAAGAGAACAAGACTATGGAGAAAAACACAGAATAATCATCACTGGGCCATTTACGTGTGCGCATGGGGTCAACAGGGAAGGCTGAGGAGAAGAGTATAATGGAAGCAGAACCCAGCTGAGCGGGGATGGAAGCCACAAAGCACACTCGGAAGAAAGGAGGTATGACATGACATGGTTTAATCACATGTATGCACTTATATGTGAAATTATGTGTATGGGTACATGTCTTAACTAATGAAGTAAAAAGTTTAAATTACAAAACAATATGAGTAAAAAAGAACACTTGCTGGTGAGAGACCTGTGAAGTAGCCCCTCAAAATTACATTCCCTGACTCCCCATTAAAATGGGAGCATGACCTTCTCAGCATAAGGTGCCTTACATAGTTCTACTTCTCATGTAGTCCTTATTTATTTTGTACACTTGAGTGTAAGCTACATAAAGGCGGGGACTTCTG